AGGGCAAATAGTTTAGGGGGATTTATAAAAGAAGTGTAAGCAACGAAGTTAGAGGCCATACTGCGCTTTAAAATCATTAGAAAGGGCCCTCACCTAAGTTATGCAGCTCAATTCTGGTCTCATATTACGGGAATGGACATAAAATTCGTTAGAAAACATTCAGCATGGGATGACAAAAATTAATACATAGCTAGGACCTTGGGTAGCTTTAGGAAGAGACTGGACAAATATATGAGTGGGAGGGGCTGGGTCTGAATGGTGTCATTGGGTGCGGGAGTTGTTTCTTGGGAAGCTTTGGTTGTAGTCTTTTGATAAGGACCTGCCTCGCATGGCCAGTAGGCCTTCTGCAGTGTTCCTCCATTCTTATGTTCTTATGTTCTTACTCTGTAAGGAACCTCCCGTATGAAGATAGGCTTAAAGCCTTAAATCTCCACTCTCTGGAGAGGCGTAGAATGAGGGAGATATCATTGAAAGTGTAAAAAGGGGAAAAGACGAGCATAAACAAGGGAGATATTATAAAGTACTGAGGTGTCCGAACCAGGTAAGAACCAGAAATAATGGATTTAATTTGGATAAATTTAGATTTAGAAAGGACATAGGTAAGTACTGGTTTTCTAACAGAGTTGTAGATGCGTGGAACAGTCTTCCCAGTATGGGGATAGAGGCTAGGACCTTGGGTAGCTTTAAGAAGAGACTGGACAAATATATGAGTGGGAAGGGCTGGGTTTGATTGGTGTCATTGGGTACAGGAGTTATTTCTTGGGTAGCTTCAGGTAGAGGTCGTTTTGATAAGGACCTGCCTCGCATGGGCCAGTAGGCCTTCTGCAGTGTTCCTCCATTCTTATGTTCTTATGTTCTTAAAGACTTGGCAGACGATGCACCATCCCCCCAATGAAAAGCAGGGGTGTCACTAGCACGTTAAGAGACCATACAATAAGTGTCAGGGGCCCGAGACTGTTCAAGTGCCTCCCAGTACACATAAGGGGGATTACCAACAGACCCCTGGCAGTCTTCAAGCTGGCACTGGACAAGCACCTAAAGTCAGTTCCTGATCAGCCGGGGTGTGGCTCGTACGTTGGTTTGCGTGCAGCCAGCAGCAAACAGCCTGGTTGATCAGGCGCTGATCCACCAGGAGGCCGGGTCACAGACCGGGCCGCGGGGGCTTTTGACCCCCAAAAACTCTCTCCAGGTAAACTCCAGGTAATAGGTTTTTGGGTGAGAAATGCAAGGCGGGGGAAGGGCTTCCCTCACGTTTGTGCGGAAAGAATTTTAGGAATATTTTTCATTGCGTGCAGTGAATTACTTAAGTGTGCTAAATGTATTTCATGTACTGGTAATATAATGCAGCTTAGTTCTGTTCTCCATATCACAGAATGGACATAAATTCGTTAGAAAACATTCAGCGTAGGATGACTAAATTAATACATATGTATGTATTAATTTTGGTCTGTCGTAGGCTGATTGGGACTGTAATCCCAACATGTGGATAGTCTGTTGCTGCCTTGGCTGCATCATCTGCCGCCTAATTTCCCCCGGGTGCCGCATGGCTGGGGATCCAGTTCAATGTCCCATCTATTACATAAGAACATAAGAACGAAGGAACACTGCAGAAGGCTACTGGCCCATGCGAGGCAGGTCCAAGGGCCCTACCGGCCTAAGCCAATGCACCCCACCTAGGGCAGTCAGGTCACATTGACTTAAGGGAGGAACACGGCAACCGACCTGTTAGCAAAAGCTATCAGGTCTAACTCACACCCACCCACATCTACTCATGTATTTATCCAACCTATTTTTAAAGCTACACAAAAGTTCTGGCCTCTATAACGGTACTTGGGAGTTTGTTCCACTCATCCACAACTCTATTACCAAAACCCGTACTTTCCTATATCCCTCCTGAATCTGAATTTTTCCAACTTAAAACCATTGCTGCGGTTCCTGTCTAGGCTAGATATTTTCAGCACACTATTTACATCCCCTTTATTTTTCCTGTCTTCCACTTATAAACCTCAATCATATCCCCCCTAATTCTACGTCTTTCTAGAGAGTGCAGTTTCAGGGCCCTTAGTCTATCCTCATAGGGAAGGTTTCTGATACATGGATCATCTTTGTCATCCTCCTTTGTACATTTTCCAGAGAATTTATATCCATTCTGAATACGGTGACCAAAACTGTGCAGCATATCTAAATGAGGCCTAACCAAGGATGTATAGATTTGAAGAACAACCTGAGGACTCCTATTATTTATGCTTCTTGATATGAAGCCAAGGATTCTATTAGCTTTATTGCGAACACTTATGCACTGTTTTTTCTTGGTTTCCTAAATCTTTTTCGCAATCCGTAATATTAAGATCTACATTTTTAGTTTTTTTATGTGGCATGGTTATTGTCCCGTCCAACATTTAGAATTTCATTTTTCTATATTAAACTGCATCTGCCACTTCTCCGACCACTG